AACGAAGGAACGTGGGGAGGTCGACCCCAGGCCTCGTGGCAGGACCAAGCCCCACCTTGGTGGGCGAGGTGACTCCGTCAACGAGCCTCCGCCGGCGCTCCCGTGACAAGGGCGTCGGCGTCCCGCCCCAGAGCTGCGCAGCTGCGTCTGGTGCCCTCGCAAGCTGCCGCCTCCCTCCCCTCTGCCAGCGCGTGCTCTCGGGAGAGGGGTCGAGCGACACACTTTGGATCTTAATACGCCCAGACGAGGAAAATCAATTTCAATCTCCACCACACGGAAGCAACCGAGCAGAAGGGGACGGAGCATTTTTCCAGTCACTCGGCAACCGGGGAGCTGGGGAGCGAAATAAATAAATAAATCCAACTCCCTCGGCACCGGGCAGACGCTGTGAGTGCCCGGTGGTGTGGTCAAGCCCCTGCAGGGTGTGGGGCAACGGGAAGCTTTCTTTTCCCCCAAAGAAATGGGGGGAGGTGCCGGATCTGTGCAGAAATAAGTCCAGGGAATCACTGGACAGATGCCTGGTAAGGATGGTCAGGGACAGACTTTCTGGCCTCGCGTGGTCCCTCTCAGCCTGTTAGCCTGGTTCTACTGTGGAGCCCCTGCGAGCCCGGGGGTTCTCTGCAAAGTGCCAAGGGGCGCTCCGCTCTTTCAACCGTCACGGAGCAGGCCCTGCGGGTGCACGTGCATGGGAAAAACGTGTGAGCATGCATAGATGTACGCGTGGCCACGTGCACTGGCGTGCACACTTGGCCACATGCGTGCGCCGGGCTCACACCTGTCTAGTCAAGACAGCCCCTGCGCCTCTGCCCTGTGTTTGTCATTCACACGTACCTGGGATCCGTGCACCTCACCAGCACTGGGCCCAGCTCTGGTTCACAATCACTTCTGCAGCACGGCCGCTCTCAGGTCTGCTACCGAGGGCGGTTCACAATCACTTCTGCAGCACGGCCACTCTCAGGTCCGCTATCGAGGGTGGGGCACCTCTGGGGGACAGACATTGGTTGATTTGGACTATATGAGGCCTATACAGTGTGGCTCACTCCTAGACCGGAGCAAGAGCTAGGCCTGGACACGCCTATGTTTTGTGAAGGGATGGAATGTGTCTGATCACCTGGGAGCCGCATGCAGACAGCTGGCCATGTGAACCTGGTGTCCTTTGGCCAGATCCCGGGCTCTCCACTCCTGGGAAGCCAGGAGGCTGGATCTCAACCGTGTCCCAACAGGCAGTGGGGGAGGCGAAGTCAGGTGATCTGCTTGTCTCAGCCCCAAATGCTGTTTCGCACGGGCTTTGTTCAGGGAAAGGCCTACCCCGGGCCCCTGCGACAGGCCTGGCTGGCATCACCTTTGCTCTGAGCCTGCTTCTGATGCTGCCAACTCAGGCTCCCCCCGCAGAGTTCAGTCTCGTTCCACAACCCAGAGCTTGAGGGACAGGGAGGTCCCTGCGGTTGGAAGAGCAGGAGAAAAGGGAGCGGACAGGTAGCTGTTTTTTCAGCTAAGAAGGAGCTGGATATGTTGAGACACACGGGGCTGACACCCCACTATGCTATATATGACCCGCCGTTACCCCGTTAGGCTGCGTCGACACTGCAGGGCTACGTCGGGATACCGGAGGTACCCTAAGATAGCTATCCCTTCACAGCAAGCCCGAAATATCCAAATATAACGGGCTTGCTGTTCCGACGTCCCTGTAGACCTCATTCCACAAGGAGGAAGGGACCTTTCGGAACAGCAGGTGATTTTGAAATAAGTGCTGTGTAGACAGCGCCAAGTACAAAATAAGCTATTTCAAAATTGACTCGAAATAAGCTACGCAATGGGTGGAGCTCCAGTGGTGAGCTTATTCCGAGCTCCAGGTGCAGTGTAGACACACCCTTACTACCCACTGCAAGCTTACAAACATAACGGATAGGTCAGCGGGGAGCAGCCGAGTATCTTGATCATACCCCTCTATTTACAGGTGGAAACAAAACACAGAACTGTGCTCTTCGATTGCTAATTCAGGAAGGGTGGAGTGTGAAACACAAGAAGGAAGTGTGTGCCAGAGAAAGTGTGTGTGTGTGTGTGTGTGTGTGTGAGAGAGAGAGAGAAATAAAGGAGGGATGCATGAGAGAAAGTGTGTGTGCATGCACATGCGTGTGTGTGCATGTGTGTGAAATAGAGGAAGGGGTGTGTGAGAGAGAGAAAGTGTGTGTGTGTGTGTGTGTGTGTGTGTGTGTGTGTGTGCGCGTGTGTTGTTACCTACCCGCTCTGTGTTCTTGGGGAGCCAGCCCATCATGCTCATGGAAGAACTTCCCTCTCCTCCCGCCTCTGCTGGCCCCAAAGCCAGTACCCAAAGCAATGAAAAGGCAGGACAGACCCACCCAATGCCCCTGCCGGCCCCCACACACACAGGGTGACAGGGGAAAGGAAACACCACCAGCCTCATTTGCGTGGAAGATGGGGCAGGAAGTCTCCATGAGCATGTAGAATGGAGCCCAGAGAGTCCAAAGCAAGAACCCCACTGCAGGCTGGGACACGGAAAGCAGGAAAGCACGGCCTGATGGGAAATCTCTGCTCCAGATGCTAATGAACCCGGGGCTGCTCACACGGCTCCCAGTCGCAGCGCTACCCCAGCAGGGGCTGGAGCCGTGAGCCCTCCAGAGAGCTGCAGCAGCCCTAGGCAGG